TAGGGGAAAAAGCAAAGAAATCATGGCTGAAAACGTAACTGAATTTGGTTAAGTACATAAACTTGCAGATTCAAGAAGCTCAGCTAACCTCAACTAAAATAAACGCAAATAAATCCATGCCCAGAAATATCACAATCAAATTTCTGAAAATTAACAACAAAGAAATCTTAAAGCCAGAAATAAATGACATATGATTTATAAGAGACAATGATTTAAATGACAATGGACTTCTCATTAGAAACCATGGAGTCCACGGGTACTGGGATGATATTTTTAAAGTAAAAGAACTATCAATATTCAGAGAAAACAATATGTAAGAATAAAGGTGAGATAAGCACATTCTCAGATACCGGAGGACTAAGATAATTTGCTAACAGTATATCTGCTCCAAAAAAAATGGTAAAGGAGTATCTTGAGAGAGAAGAAATGTGATACTAGAGGGAAAGTGATAACTTTAAGAATGAAAGAACCACAGAAATGGTAACTATCTGTGTAGACAATTTTTCCTCTCCTAAGTTCTTTAAAATATAGGATGGTTGAAAGCAAAAAATTATAACCTTACCAGTATTAAAAGGTAAGTTTCTTGACATGATAAAGAGGCACTTATGAAAAATCTACAGTTAACATACTCAATGTTGAGAGACCTAAAGACTTTCCCCCTTAAAATCTAGAACAAGACAAGGATGTCTGTTTTCAACACTGCTATTGAACATTGTATTGGAAGTTTTAGCCAGAGCAATTAGACAAAAAGTAAAAGGCGTTCAAATTGGAAAAAAAAAAGTAAAATTGTGTCTATTCACAGAACTGACCCTATATAGGGGAAATCCCAAAAGAATCCACAGAAATTACAAGAGCTAATAAATAAATCCCTCAAAGTCACAAAATGTAAGATCAACACACAAAAATCAGTTGTTTCTATACACCATCCATGAAAAACCTGAAAAGTAAATTAAGAAAGCAATTCATTTACAATAGCATTTAAAAGAATACAACACCTAACAATAAATTGAAGCAAGGAGGTGAAAGACTTGTACACTGAAAACTGCAAAATATTGTGAAAGGAATAAATGGAAAGATAACCTATGTTCATCAACTGAAAAACTTAATGTTGTTAAGATTTCAATACTACTCAAAGGAATCTACAGATTAAATGCAATTCCTATCAAAATTTCAGCAGCCTTTTTGTACAGAAATAGAAAAATTTATTCTCAAATTAACATGGAATGTAAATGGTCCATATTACAATGCAAGTGGTACATACACACAATAATTAAAACAGTTCACTATTGACATATGCATATAAATATAGAAATATAGACAAATGGAATAGAACTGAGAGTCCAAAAATAAATCCATGCATGTATTACCAACTGAATTTGACAAGGGTGGAGATTTCTTTCCATTGGGAAAGAATTGTCTCTTCAACAGGTGATACTGAAGCAACTGAATGTCTGCATTCAAAACAATGAAGTCATTTGAAGTTATTTGAATGAAATTCTACTCAACATTATATACAAAAATTAATTTAAAATGAATGAAAACCTAAACATGGAGGTAAACCTTCATGAATTTGGAATTGACAATTGATTCTTAGGTATGACAGTAAAAATAAGCAACAAAAGAAAAACATAAGTTAGACTTCATCAAAATTAGAAATTTTGTGTCTCAAAGGAAATTATCAAGAAAGTGAGAAGACAACAAACAGAATGAGAGAAAATTTTTGCAAACCATATATCTCGTAATAGCTTATTATCCAGAATATATAAAGAACAACAACTTAACAACAAATAAACAATCCAATCCAAGGATTGGCAAAAGATTTGAATAGGCATTTCTCCAAAGATACATAAATGGTCAATAAACCGGTGAAAAGATGGTCAACATCATTAGTCATTAGAGAAATGCCAAAAAACCACAATGAAATACCATTTCATATCAGCTGGCATGGTTATCATCAAAACAACTGGAAAATAACAAATTTAATATATAAGAAATTTCTACAATTTCATAATAGGACAACACAAATTATTATTATTATTATTTTTTGCGACAGAGTCTTGTTCTTGTCGCCCAGGCTGGAGTGCAATGGCGCAATCTTGGCTCACTGTAACCTCCACCTCCCAGGTTCAAGCGATTCTACTGCCTCAGCCTCCCAAGTAGCTGGGATTACAGGTGCACACCACCACACCCAGCTAATTTTTTGTATTTTTAGTAGAGATAGGGTTTCACCATGTTGACCAGGCTGGTCTTGAATCCCTGACCTCAGGTGATCCACCCACCTCTTTCCCAAAGTGCTGGGATTACAGGCGTGAGCCACGGCACCTGGCCCAACAATACAATTTTTTTAAATGGACAAAGGACTTTAGACACTTCTCCAAATAATATATACAAATGGCCAATAAGTATTATGAAAAGATGCTCAAAATCGTTAGTCATAGGAATATGCAAATCAAAGCCACAAAGGGATATTGCCTTATCCTCAGTGAATGGTGATCATTAAAAATACAATTACAAGTATTGGACAAGATGTGGAGAAATCAGAACCTTCATACATTGCTGGTGGAAATGCAAAATTGTGCAGCTGCTTTGACAAACTGTTTAGTCATTCCTGAAAATGTTATACATAAAGTCACCCATATGACTCAGAGAGTTTACTCCCAGGTGATTAAATGAAAACATAGATTCTTACAAAAAGCTATAAACAATGTTTACAGCAATATTTCCTAATAGTCAAAAACTGGAAACAATTCAAATGTTAATCAACTGATTTATACATAAATAAAATTTAGATTATCTATACTTTGTACATAATTTGGAAATAAAAAGAAATGGATACTGACACATGCTACCGCATAACTGACCCTTGAAAGCATTTTACTAAGTAAAAGGATCAAATCACAAAAGCCACATATTTTGTTGTCCCATTTATTTGAAATTCAGTATAAGCAAATCCACAGAGACCCAAAGTCAATAAAGGTTTGTCTAGGAGTGAGGGTGGGAGTGGCAAGAGGAGATGGGAATTGATTGTTTAAGGCTCTTGGTATAGGATTTCTTTTACAAGGGATGAAAAGTTTCTAAATATTTATTCTCTTGTTTAAATAAACACTAAATTTTTAAAAAATTTAAAATGTAATTTCAACTTTTATTTTAGATTTAGGGGATACATGTGCGGGTTTGTCACATAGGTATATTGTGTGATGCTGAGGTTTGGAATATGAGTATTTCTGTTACCCAGCTAGCAAGCATAATACCCAATAGTTAGGTTTTCAAACTTTGTCCTCCTCTTTCCCTTCCCATCTAGTAGTCCCTAGTGTCTATTGTTGCCATCTTTATGTCCATGAGTACCCAATGTTTAACTCTCACTTATAAGAGAGAACATGCAGTATCTGACCTTCTGTTCCTGCATTAATTCATGATGTTGAGTATTTTCTCATATGTTTGTTGGCTGCATGTATGTCTTCTTTTGAGAAGTGTTCACATCCTTTGCCCACTATTTAACAGGGTTTTGTTTTTTGCTTGTTTAATTATTTAAGTTTCTTATAGATTCTGGGTATCAGACCTTTGTTGGATGACTACTTTGTGAATATTTTCTCCCATTCTGTACATTATGTTTACTCTGTTGATAGTTTCTTTTGCTCTGCAGAAGCTCTTTAGTTTAATTAAGTCTCACGTATCAATTTTTGGTTTTGTGGCATTTGCTTTTGAGAACTTAGTCATAAATTATTTCCCAAGCCCAGTGTTCATGATGGTGTTTCCTAGGTTTTCTTCTAGGATTCCTCTAGTTTGAAGTCTTACATTTAAATATTTTATCACTCATTTTGAGTTAATTTTTATATATGATAAAATGTAGGGTTCCAATTTCATCCTTCTTCGTATGACTAGTCAGCTATCCTACCACCATTTATTGAATAGGGATTCCTTTTGCCATTCCTTATTTTTGGTGACTTTGTTGAAGATCAAATCGCTGTAGGTGTGTGACCTTATTTCCTGATTCTCTATTCTGTTTCACTGGTCTATGTGTCTGTTTTGGTACCAGTATCATGCTGTTTTGGTTGCTGTAGCCTTAAAGTATAGTTTGAAGTCGGATAATGTGATGCATCTGGCTTTGTTGTTTTGCTAAGGATTGCTTTGGCTATTCAAGCACATTTTTGGTTTCATATTAATTTTAGAATAGTTGTTTTTTAATACTGTGAAAAAAATAATATTTTTCAGTTTGGTAGGAATAGTGTTGAATCTATAGATTGCTTTGAACAGCATGGCCATTTTCACAATTTTGATTCTTCCAATCCATGAGCATGGATTGCTTTTCAGTTTGTTTGTACTATTTATGATGTCTTTCAGTAGTGTTTTGTAGTTTTTCTTGCAGAGATCTTTCATCTTCTTAGTTATAGATATATATTCCTAGGTATTCTATTTTTCTGGTGGCTATTGTAGATGGGATGAGTTCTTGATTTGGCTCTCAGCTTGAATATTATTGGTGTATAGAAATGCTACTGATTTTGACATTGGTTTTGCATCCTGAAACTTTACTGAAGTTGTCTATTAGTTCAAGGAACCCTTTGGTGGAGTCTTTAGGGTTTTCTAGGTATAGAACCGTATCGTCCATGAAGAAAGATAGTTTGACTTCTTCTTTTCGTATTTTGACACCATTTGTTTTTTCTCTTGCCTGATTTTTCTGGCTAGGACTCCCAAAATGTTCTAAAATTAGGTTGTGGTGATAGCTACACAGCTAAGTGAATAATCTTAAAACTTTACGATGGGGGCTGGGCTGGTGGTTCAAGCCTATAATCACAGTGCATTGAGAGGCCAAGGCAGGAGGATCATTTCAGACTGGGAGTTTGAGACTATCCTGAGCAACATAACAAGACTCCATCTCTACAAAACGTTTTTTTTTTTAAATAGCCTGCATGGTGCCACATACCTGTAGTCCTAGCTACTTGAGAGGCTGAGGCATGAGGATCACTTAGCCCAGGAATTTGAGGCTGCAGTGACCTTGATCATTCCACTACACTCCAGGCTGTGTGACAGAGTGAGGACCCCATCTCTAAAAAACAAAACAAAACAAAAGAACAGAAACAAAACAGAAACATTCATTTCTTGCTGAACTGAAATGTTAACTTCTGTTATACACTAAATTCATAAATACTCTAGTGATTGCGTACAGGAAAATGCTACCCAAAGATATGATGCCTTGGAAACAGAAAACAGCAGAAACAGGAAGACCATTCCCACCTTCCCTATCTCCAGAAACAAAACAACAGTGAAAACTTAAATTGTACGCTGTAAATGGGTGAGTTTTATGTTAATTATATCTTAATACAACTATTTAAAACAAAACTGTTAGTCTACTCTAAGAATAAACTAAATGAATTCTGTCTCCTGAAAGCTTTAAAACCATCAGCCTCTACCTTATGCCCTTTACTTGGAATTTCTAATTCTAGCAAAGCCTGTTTACTTTCAGAATAACCCCAAATTCTAAATTATATAAGTCAAAATTAATGGGTTGTTAATTTTAAAATTAACATAGAATCTTTAATACTGAAGTCACAAAGAGTGAACATGAAAATGGTATTTAACAAAAAAAGTCTTAAGTGATGTTTCAAATGGTCATATCGACATCGTAACCAGACAACAATTATTTTGCAGTAAAAGTGTTCATGTAAAAATTACTTGTGATACAGACTTCCAGGGAGAGAAAAAGTACAAAGAAACCTAGAATACAGAATAAAAGTCTAACATCATGGACCAGTCTTGCCCATTAGAATAGGCACCCAATATATGCAGATGACTGGCTTTGGAGATCAATTTAAGCTCATAAATGACACAGCCTTTCTTTGATTCAACAAGCCACATCAGCATGTAACATTCTTACAGAGTGTTAGTGAATGAAAGAAATATCAACCATACAATGACAATCTTTATAGATTTTTTTTTAAAAAAGCCACTTACCCCATTAAAGATTACAGAAACTAAAAAATTCAAAGAGCTGGTTTAGAGTAGAATCAAGGACTCCTGAATACTTGTCTATTTTGTTTCAACCAGTCTCATGTTGCCTAATTTGTTAAGTCCACTGGGTAGAAAAGGAATGTAACTAAACCTTAGTATAACTTTAGAATTGACCCTGTCAGCTATTTTTTTCATTGTGTGCAGCTGCTTAAATGGATTGTCTTCAGCAAAAAACAATGTAAGTAATTGCATAGCATAAAAGTAAATGTTAAATTATAATTAAATTATTCTGCAAGCCTATCACACTAAGTTTATGGCCATTTCATCATACTGCAGCAGTACACAGAACAACAATTAGAGAGAAAGAAATGTTTTCAATTGAGATCGCAACTTTCTGATAACTTGTCTCCTTGAAGGCATCTCCTAACATTATGTCATTACTTTTCATTTTAGTTTTTCAACTGTCAGCTTTTCTTTCATATATACATTTATTGCAAACCTTTTTCCTTGAGCAGATAGCCAAACACTGGAAGATTCCAAATTAAATGCCTCTTAGTTTGACTTAACACAGAAAGGTCCTGATTTATTATTCAAGACTTACCAAGTGCTTTTCCTTGCCTCATTTTGCAATCATTTATTAGCTTTTCCTGAGGACTATCCCATGAAGGTCATTTTTTGCGTGTTTAGTTGACAGACCTTAATTGAGAAAATTATTTTGACTGACGTTGGAGAATAAGGTTAGTTCAAAGTCTGGAATAAAAAGCCAAGATCATGTTTAGCACACTTAGTTTCACTTTAGTTCATCCATCTGATCTGTAACATAGAAGCACAACCTATCCGTTTTGAAAATCCCTTGTTTTCCCAGATGTTCTCAGAGCAGCAATTTTCCACAGGGGTCATCACTGCTCACACAGTGTCTTTTACTTAATCTGTGTGAATCTCTATAAGATACAAATACTCTTTAAGTACTAGTCTTAGCAAAATTGTGACAGTCATATCAATTACCTAGAAAGTACTCATGTGGGTGTACACACATTATACAAGTAAAGGGGAATGATTTATTCAAAATGTATTCTTTCAACAATAATTTGGGGAAGTCTACTGTTTACTGATAAACAGTACTAGTATGTATCTACTGATACAATACTAGTTTCTGAGAATACTTATGCAAATAAAACATAGTTCCTGCCTTTAAAAAACTGAAAACCTACAGTAGAAATGAAAGAAAAAAACAGAAAAATAGCAAGCAGAAAATTTTATGTATATGTATGTATAATACACACACATATATATGTATACACACACACACACACCCCATACACAACAAAAATGAGAAATCTTAGTGACATTAAAATGTCCAGGGTGTTTATGGGACTTCCAATAAAATAATGGCCCAGAAATCGGTGATATGTTTGAGAAGAAAAGGACATTTTGGTAACAGCTTTAGATAGGCATATTTTGTGGGTAAAAAGTGTGAGAAGGGAGTAGCTGACAGTCCATTTCTCTGCATAGGTTTCTTCTCTTCTTACTGTGCACTGAGACTCCAAAAAGGATACAGAATCAAAAAAAAAAAAAAAAATAGGCATGCACTAATGAATGTCCACCTGAATGTCAACATAACTAAGAAGATTCTGTCTCATCTTCCATTCATCACTGACTGCAGGATAAGCAGTGACTACATCCTTCATAATCCCAAATATTATGAAGAAAATGATACAAATAAGTACTAGCAATATAGTATGTATAAACTGCTTAGCACAATGCCAAGCACAGAGTAACTGCTTAATAAATGTTAGCTATTTTTAGTTGTTATTTCTATCTCAACTAATTGTATAAGTAGCTCTTTTCAAATGCACTGGTGCTGCCATCTTGATAGAATGAGTAAAGGAGAAATAAAGGAGAAAAACCATGATAACAATATTGGCATTCATGTTTTAATTGGAAAAATAATAAGATAGAATTGATCATTTATTTTGCCCTGTTTTGTGCTACCAATTGTACTAGACGTATATATTAGTTACTTCTTACAACAATGAGGAAGGTAGGTAGACAACTTCATTTTACAGCTAAGAAAAGCAAGGGTCAAAGAAATTTAAATAATATTACAAGTCGACATAGCTAGTAAAAGGGGCAATAAAATTGGATAATTTATCCAAACTCCAATTTGTTTCTACAAAATCTCCTTTCAAAGTCAGAAAATAGTAAAACCGTGGTTTAATTCATGCTATATGCCAGACACTACGTATAATAAGGTATACAGAGGGAACAGTGACACTTCAGATATGGTCCATTGACTTCTGTGGCTAAAAATGCAGAGGGAGATGGAAAAAATGGAGGCAATTGTAAAGCAAAAAACCAAGGTACTGTGGGAGCACATAATAGGAGCTTTAAGCCCTTGGAAAGAGTGATATCAAAGCTGAGACATGAAACATGAGTACAAATTAGCATTGATAACGTGCAAGGAGCTGAGTGATGTAGGTACAGAGAATAGTCTGCGTGAAGGCTCTGAGACAAAACTGGGAAGCATGAGTTTGAGAGTAAGACTCTTCACCACAGGATGGGACTGTGATGTGGACAGAGGTCCAGGTCACGCAGAGACATTGAGAGTCTCTCAGAATGACCTGAGGATCATGAAAAGCAATGGCTTCATTCCAACTTAGAATATGGAGCCTAGGACACATTTTAAGTAAGAAAGTCATCAGAATTATATTTTAGAAGTAATATTTTTAGCAAAAGAATAAATTAGAAGAAAATTGGCAGTCACATTTTGTTTACATTAAATTGGCTTCCTAAAAAGCTATTAGGCTCATATAAGTAATTAGTAGGTGAACATACCTATAAGTGAGAAACAGGCCGATGTGAAAACTGCTATGACTTATGCCATCTTCGAAGCTAAACAGGCTTGGCCTGGCAAGATGTTCTGGTGAAGCTAACTGTGGAAGGCCATCTGTTTAGTGATCATTGAGGAAGTTTTAAAGAATAAGAATGCATTTAGCACTCAGTTGGAATTCTGTGACAGGTTGCTTGCCACGATTTCTACTTGTAAAGAGAGATTTACAACAGGGAAGGCAGTTCAGGTAGTTGAGACACAGCAATTTACCAAAACATCCTAAAGCTGGTTCTGTTCCAAAACAAGGGAAAATGCCATTTTTTTGGTAATTCAAGACTTTTATTTCTGTTTCCAACTCCTAACCTAACACCTTACCTTTGGCAGATGATTTTGTTTCCTAATTCACAGAGATATAAGAGCAATTCTACCATATGAATCTCTTTAAATTCCCTCTATCACACATAAATATTATCTTCCCTTCTCCAGCTATTCATTATGTTTATTACATTTGAAATAGAAGATAATCCTACCCATTGGCCAGGTCTAATAATCAGTTGCCTTTATTGTCCTCCCAACCCCTCATTTTTGGATTAGGACCTCACTAAACAATTTTCCCCTCTTTCTTCTGTCTTCTGACCCTCCCCTTTTCCCTGATCTCTTTCCAAACCCTATTAATATACTCAGGTCTTATTCATAATAAAAAGAAAAAAAGTTTTCTTTCATAAAGATGGAAATGTTGCCTGGAGTTTTATTTTACAGTACTCATGATTGCACCTGGATTGAGAGAAGACAGGAAAGGCGATGAAGAGGAAGGGAGAAATTTGCTTCCGTGATCTCATATCTTTTTCCTGCTACTCTTTCTTTTGCCTTCCTTCTTTTAAACATCTTAGCTATGGTCTGAACTTGCAATTATCATTGTCCCATGCGCCACCATTCCAACTCATTCCAATGAAACCTGGACTCAAACCTTTTCATAGTTACTTCTCTTGCAAAAATGAGGCATACCCTCCTTCTTGAAGCTGTCTATTTGCATCAAAGTAGATAAATTGGACTTTACTAAAATTAAAAGCTTTTATGGATCAAAGGATACTATTAACAGAATAATAAAACAATCCACAGAATAAAAGTAAATATTAGCAAATCATACATCTGATAAGAAATTAATATCTTGACTATATAAAGAACTCTAACTCAACAACAGAAAACAAAACAAAACAAAATTTAAAAAATGAGCAAAGAACATGGGTAGACATTTCTCTAAAGAAGATAAACAAATGGCCAATAAGTACATGAAAAGATGCTTAGCATCTCTAATCATTAGGGAAATAAAAATCAAAATTATAAGACACTACTTTACAAACATTAGAATGGCAATTACTTAAAAAATAGAAAATAACAAGTGTTGGTGAGTATGTGGAGAAGTTGGAACCCTTGTGCATTGCTGATGAAAATGTACAATAGTGCAGCCACTGTGGAGAACAGTATGACAGTTGCTCAAAATATTAAACATATGATTTACCAATTTCACTTCTGGGTATATGTCTAAAAGGACTGAAAGCAGGGGCTTGAAGAGATATTTGTACATGCAGTTCGTAACAGCATTATTCACGTAGCCAAAAGGTGAAAGCAATCCAAGTGTCTATTGATGAATAAAAGGATAAATAAAATGTGATATAAACATACAAAATAATATTTTCCAGCTCAAAAAAAAGAAATTGTGACACATGCTACAACATGGATGAACCTTGAAGACATTACGTTAAGTGAGGTAAGCCAGTCATGAAAAAAAAAAGAAACAAAGATTGTTCAATTCTACTTATACAAGGTACCTAGCGTAGTCAAATTAACAGAGACAGAAAGTAGAATGGTGGTGGTCAAGGGCTGGGGAGAGGAAGGAACTGAGAATCAGGGTTGAATGCATATAGTATTTCATTTTGGGAAAATGAAAAGTTGTGGAGATGGATGGCAGTGATGGTTGCACAAAAATGTAAGTGTACTTAACAATATTGAACTGTACACTTAAAATTGGTCAATATAGTAAATTTTATACTATGTATATATTAGCACAATAAAAATATTTTATTATTTTATTCCATTGTGCATGGTATCTTATTTTGTTTTATGGGCTTTTTCCTTTGTAAAATAAATACTGATATTTATAAGATCTTATTTTTTTATTTTAAATTATCATTTAAAAATTTTTTGTGGGTACATGGTAGGTGTATATATTTATGAGTACATGAGATATTTTGATACAGGCTTTCAATGTGAAATAAGCACATCATAGAAAATGGGGTATCCATCTCTTCAAGCATTTATCCACTGAGTTGTAAACAATCCAATTACATTCTTTAAGTTATTTTAAAATATGCAATTAAGTTATTACTGACAATAGTCACCCTGTTATGCTATCAAATAGTAGATCTTCCTCATTCTTTCTATTTATTAGCCATCTTTCTAACTTTATCTTTCTAACTATTAGACATTTGTACCTCCCCCACAACCATCAATAACCTTCCCAGCCCCTGGTAGCCACCCTTCTCCTCTCTATGTCAATTAGTTCAATTGTTTTAATTTTTAGATTCCACATATAAGTGTGACCATGCAATGTTCGTCTTTCTGTACCTGGCTTATTTCACTTAACATAATGATCTCCAGTTCCATCCATGTTGTTGCAAATGACTGGATCTCATTCATTTTTTATGGCTGAATAATACTCCATTGTATATACCACATTTTCTTTATCCATTCCTCTGCTGATGGACACTTAGGTTGCTTCCAGATCCTAGCTATTGTAAACAGTGCTGCAACAAACAGGAGTGCAGATATCTCTTAGATACACTGATTTCCTTTCTTTTGGATATATACCCAGCAGTGGGATTGATGTATCATATGGCAGCTCAATTTTTAGCTTTCTGAG